CTGAACCTTGGAGCAATCCTGAGCACTGACCTGTTGAGAAATCACCCCAAAAGCATAAATAAGCGGCCCAGAACACTTTAGAAGGTACACATATACACAAATAGAGATCTCTGCTTAGTTCCTTAACCAATTGCTTTGCGCTTTCAGATAGTTCCAATGCTGAAGAGAAGTACGAACGATTACCTGAGTGGCTATAGTGGAAGTGAACTGTGACTGATCATAGACCCATCCATACTGGCAGCTCTGGACAGATGAGGTATTGGATGGCACCTCAGTGGAGTTCAGCAATAGGTAAAACTGAGGCTCAGAGAACATCTCACAGGAACTGAAGGTGCCTTCAAAATTTCTTGGAATGTTGATCAGTAGAACCTCTTCCTCGGTGAGGTTGGCAAATTGGTCCCGATGTGGAATAGCGCAGCGGTGGGGTGGGATAGCAGCAAGGAAATTGTGCAGTAAGAAATGGAAGGGGAGAATGAATCTTGGGAGACAGAGCAAAGACAGTGTAAAGATCTGAAATTTGCCAAAGCTTCCAGCCTCCTGCAAGATATCTTCAAAGTTCATCTTGACTAGGGTACTTGCTTGTTCTTAGAGGTTGAGATCCTGGAGGAGGGAACCCTGGTAGATCTTCTGCTGCTTGAAAGCAATGTGCCATGAGTTTTCTCACTGTCATCTCCTTGGACTTTGTAATGTAGGTCACGCTTCTGCCCTCCACTGCTGGAGCTTGTGCCAAAGGTTTTTTCACCAGAAGTTCAGTATGAGTGGAATCACAATAACTGAGGCAGGCAGGCAGATGGGGCAGGAGTATAACATGTAGATTAGGATTATACACCTCTGATAGCACAAACTGATAGCTCAGCAGAAGTGGTTCTTGGGGGGAAAATCCCTTAACTGCTTATTTTCAGAGGCAATTTTTTCAGTTAATGCTCTGTCCCAACAACACTGTGCAGAAACTTCAGTTAATTATGATATGCCTACAGGATTCTATGTAACCTGAGTACTGGAGTATGGTGATTCTTGGTGGGGCTTTTTTTGTAGCAGGAACTTCTTTGCATACTAGGCGACACACCCCTAATGTAGCCAATCCTCCAAGAGTTTACAGAGCTCTTCTTACAGGGGCTACTGTAAGCTCTTGGACGATTGGCTACATTAGGGGTGTGTCACCTAATATGCAAAGGAGTTCCTGCACATAACCTAAAATAGGGACCTCCAACTTTTTTGAGTCTGTGAATATCTTTTCTATTAATTTTAAGACTTTATTGAACAAAAGACAAACAAGTAACAAAAAACAACAGAAACGAAGGAGGAGGAAAGAATACATATAGTGAAGGGAGGCTTCCAATTTTGTCTGTGACAAATATAAGTTTGATTACCAAATTTTCTCTATGTTTACAATGAAAAGTTCTCTTTTTTCTATTATCTGAATTCCTTATTCACCAAACCCACATATCATCAAGTCATTATTATCTGTTTCATGCCAAAAGTCTATAAGAGGATTCCAATCAGTAATAAATGAACTGACTGTCTATTCTCTAATTAATGAAGTAAGCTTAGCTATCTTTTTGTAGAAAAAGCCCAGCAGGAACTCATTAGCATAATAGGCCACACCCAACAGCAGGAACTCATTAGCATATTAGGCCACACCCCTGACAGCACAGCTCATTAGCGCATTAGGCCGCACCCCCATGTTACCAGAAGTGTGGTTATCCAGCCACACCCACCTTTTGCTGGTTATTCTGTTTACCTCGTTTGTTGTCAAAACCCAGGGCTTTTTTGTAGCAGGAACTCCTTTGCATGTTAGGCCACACACCCTAAATGTAGCCAATCCTAATGAGTTTCTGCTGTTGGGTGTGGCCTATTATGCTAATGTTGAAGGAAATCCAACAGTTATGGCTTTCATCCTGTTGCAGAAAGCAATTTCTCCCCAGCGTGATAATTATTTTAAAATTATAAGTTTCTCATGTGATTTGGCAACTTAATTTTTTTTTTTTTTTAATAGTTTTTTATTAAAGTATAAGTAGTGGTACATCCAACACCCATGATCCCCATAAACCCACCATATTGCACATTAAAATGATCCTTATAGCTTAACAAAAATCTATATATATCAATTATGATTACAATCAAATTATCTTGTATGTTCTTATACATTCTTATCGATCCAATCATAAACATTTGACCACATAGCTGAAAATACAGAGTTTTTCCTTCCGTGGAGTTTTTGTGTTAGATTGTCCATTTCTATCACCTCAATTGCTTTGTTTATAAAATCTAGTCTATCCGGAATTTCATCTCTTTTCCAGTAACTGGCTAATACGATTCTAGCTGCTGCTAACAAATTTGTCAGGACGTGTTTATCTTTTTTTTCCCAACTCTCGGGTAGAATATTTAATAAAAATATTTCAGGGTCCAGTGTTATTTGCAACTTTGTTGCCTGGGTGATCACCTGATATACCTCTTTCCAGTATTTCTTTACCGCATCGCAGGACCACCAGACATGGAAAAACGACCCAATTTGTGCTTTACATTTCCAGCATTTATTGTTACTACCGGGGTA